GGTAGATAATGCTCTCATAGATGGACAGGTGGACAAAGAGATAATTCTCTTGTAGATGGGTGGGTAAATGAGTAGATAATACTCAATTATAGATGGATGGGTAGATGGGTAGATGATACTCTTACAGATAGATGAGTAGATGGGTAAATTATACTCAGTTATAGATGGACAGGTAGATAGGTAGATAATACTCTCATAGATGGATTGGCAGACAGATAATACTCTCACAGATGGATGGGTAGATGGGTAGACAATACTCTTAGAGATGGATGGGAAGACAGGTAGACAATGCTTGATTACAGATGGATGGGTAGACAAGTAGATAATACTCTTATAGATAGACAAGGAGACAGGTAGATAATACTCGATTATATATGGATTGGTAAATGAGTAGATAATACTCTTACAGATGGATAGGCAGATGGGTAAATACTACTCTTGTAGATGGATGGGTAGTTGGGTAGATATTAACCTTCTAGACGGACGGGTGGCTGGGTAGGGGTAAGTAATGCCCTTCTAGACACATGAGGGGATGGAAAGGTAATACCCCTATAGATGGACAGGTTCTTGGATAGGCAAATGACCATAGGACAAGCAGGTCCAACTCCATATGGGAGGTCTGTACACTCAAAGCTGGGGACAACAGAACTGGCTGTGCTGGTGGCCACCTGGCCCTTAGCCACATTCCCTAGGATAGGATAGAAGCCTCTGATCTTGCCGACTTGGCCCTTGGCACTCTGAGCCCCATACCCAGTGTCTATCTTCATCCACTGTGTCTGCCCCAAGAGGTAGGTTGTTTGGGGCTCGCTGCATGTTTGAATGGGCAGGGACACAGGAGCAGATGGTGTCCACCCTCTGTCCTTTCAGATCTCTCACCCAGGTGCCCTGTGCCCCACAGAAATGAAGGTCCCCTGTCTCCTGAGGTGGGGAACCCCTAGGCCCTGAGGAGTGTAGGAGGGAGGGCCTAGTCCTGGGCCCCTACCCACTCTAGGCCTAACAACCCTGGGTGTGTTGCAGGTTGGCAGGAGCCATTTCCCTGGGTGGTGTTGGATCTGCCACAGGAGAACCTGGAGGAGGGCACCCCAGGCGCCAATCTCTGGCCCACCACCGTCACCTTCCTTACTCTCTTCCTGCTAAGCCTGTTCTACAGCACGGCTCTGACTGTGACAAGCATCCGGGGCCCACCTGGCAGCAGAGAAGGCCCTCAATATTGAGCAAAGCCTGCAGGGCACAGGTAAGGGGATGGAGGAGGACAGTGGGATGGAGGGCATTACTTTTCCCCACTGTAGAAAACTACTCTCCCAGGGAGGTGACCCCTCCACAGACAGGCCCGAGGTCAGGGTCTGAGTTCCTCTGGGGTGGATAACTTCAGCAGGCTCCCAAATCGAGATCAGGACAGGGCAGGGAGCATTGGTGAGGACTTACCCCAGTCCTGACCCCTCTTGTCTATACAGGGAGAGAGCATGGAGGAGCCTCTCTGAGAAGCCACCTACACATGCCAGAGCTCAGCCCTGCATGAGGCCAATACCTGCCCCATTTGCCTGCCTTCCTATGCAATAAAATGTTCCAAAGGACAAAGATTCATAGACTTTGAAAGCAATCAGGGAAAGGGGCTGTAGCCT